AAGCCCCCAATATGTTAAAGTTTAATGCTGTATTTTATAATAAAGTCTGTAAAGTTCATGTGCAGTGTTTATAGAGGTAAAATGGAATGAAAATGTAAGGCTGCGGTGACAGAGGATCAGGGGTACCAGAAAAGATGAAATATTAGGAAGAAATAAAAGAAACATTTTAATGCATTAATACAGTGCTGCTAGTTTGCAACCAGTTTATAATCAAGGCCATTAGACCACAAGAGAAATTTTCTGAGTGGCCCATAAATTTTTAAAAGAAAAGCTTTTGTGCAGCAGATGCTGAAGTACCTGACTAAAAGACACAGACAATACTGTAACTGCTCTTAAAGACATGGTGAGTCTAAAACAGAGTAGGATTTGCTTTGAAAACATGATAGAAATGTAAAAGTTCATAGTAATTATTAAGATGTTTCAGTGCAAAGACTTCACAACTGATCACGCTACTGAAATGAAACAAATTGAGAAATTCTGTGTATTTTAAACCAATATAAAACGGTACCTCTACTGTCTAACTGTGATAAATGCAAGACTATGGGCACCGGCAGAAACACAAGCTTCAAATCAGCATACGCAGGTATTCTGAATCAGATGGATTCAAAATATAATATGAACTGTTTGAAAAACACGCCTACTGGGTTTGAATTTTATTCAAGTGTTAACAATATTTCTGAAATGCCTGCACTTGTTATTCTGATCTTTCTGACCATCTCCTTCCTTTCATTTTTGTTCTGCTTACCCAATCCAGGGTCAGGGGGTGGCTGGAATCTACTCCAGTTTTCTTGCCATGTATTCTTTTCGTTTTTAATGGCAAAGATAATGAATGCACGTGAGGCATACACTCACAGAAGACTGAAGCAAAACAGTGAAGCTACGATTCTCGCTAAAATTTGGTAGAAAGACTGGAAAAACGTTCTGTGGCCTGATGAGTCTTGATTCCTGCTGCAACGATCAGATGGGTCAGAATTTGGTGTAAACAGCATAACAGCAGGGATCCGTCCTGCCTCGTATCAACAGTACAGGCTGTTGGTGGAGGCATAATGGCATGGAGTAAATTTTCTTGGCACGCTTTGAGTCTCTTAGTACCAACTCATCTTTTGATCCCATCTTTTGACAAATGCTTCCAGCAGGATAGTGTACCATGTCGCAAAGCTCGAAGCATCTCAAACTGGTTTCTCGAACATGACAAGAATTTCACTGTACTCCACAACTGGCCTCTACAGTCACCAGATCTCAACAAAACACAGGAGATTTATGTCAACAAATCTGTAGCAACCGTGTGATGTTATCATGTCTATATAGACCAAAATACTCTGGAATATTTCCAGCCGCTTGTTGAAGGAGTCCAATCCAGCACTAGCGACATGAAACTCATAAAATGTGTGGTGAGTCGATACTGGAAGCGAGGCTCACAGCAGGCATCAAGCCTCATTCTGGCTTGTCGTCAGTCGTTTTAAACTATTGTTTTAACTGGTAGTGCAAAGCTGTTCACAACATTAGGTGACTAACGGGAAACAAATCTTCTAATCAATGAATGTACTCAGGCTCTGAGTGCATTAAAGAGAATGTATATCTTTTTAATAAACACACAAAGGAGGTTTTAAGGTGGTTGCACACAGCCACTGATGAAGAAAAATGATGCCACTCAATTAAAAATTTCACTGTTTGTACTATGTGCATTTTTAACTCCAAAAATGTAAATGTTTTGATTGTTTTTATCATAGATGTCAGGACTGTAGACACAAAAAGCGGAGGATGATGTTTGTCAGACTCTAAAAGGTTCTGGCTCTATATTTGAGTAAAACATTCGCTTCCTGCTATTTGATGGACTAAAGTGGCTCATAGTAACTGATCCGTATTGGTAAAAAGAACCACATAGAATGCAGTAAAAATAAAAGGAAAAGATGTATCTGAAATGATGGGCTCTGTTTCACAAAGCTGAATATGAGAGCTACTGATAGTACTGGACCCAGTACATCCTGAGGTGAATCTGTAACATTTTGCATGTTTGCCTACACGTCTTACCTCTCCTGTTTAACTGCACAGGAAGATCCTTGTACAGCCTAAGGCTTCTGCTTGAAATTGGCTGCACACAAAAACTGAACTTCCCTTTACAGCACG